ATTGTTATTATTATTATTATTATTATTACTATTATTATTATTATTATCATTATTATCATTATTAGTATTAGTATTAGTATATTATCATTATTTTTATCATTATCATTACCATCTTTCTTACACTACACCGAAATTAGTTGTACTGTCGGTTTGTAAACATTTATTATTTACACGACTATCTGAGTGTGGAGGTTAAGAAGGAAAGTAGGAGAGGGAAGAGGGAAAGGAGAAGGGGGAAGAAAGGGGGGAGAAGATAAAACGGAAGGGGTAGAGAGTTTATAGAGAAAGGGAGATGGGAAAAGGGGAACGAAGGGGAAGGGAGAGGGGCTCAGGGAAAAAGGGAGATGGGAGAATGAAGGAAGGGAATAATTAGTTATTAGTATTGTCATTATTGTCATCATTACTATTATCAATATGATTTTTATCATTATCATCATCATCATTATTATTATATTATTTTTATATGCATACTGTTGTTGTTGTTGTTACTGTTTGTTGTTGTTTTTTGTTATGATTGTTATTGCCATTGCTGTTATTATTATCATCGTCATTGTTGTTATTATTATTATCATCATCATTATTATCATTATTTTCATCATTGTTGTTATAATAGTAGTAGTAGTAGTAGTAGTAGTAGTAGTAGTAATGATAATATTATTATTTTCATCAGTATTATCATCATCATTAATAATATTATTGTTGTTATCATCATCACCATTTTTCAATTATCATTATTATTATTATTATCATCATCATCATCATCATCATCATCATCATCATCATCATCATCATCATCATCATCATCATCATCATCATCATCATCATCATCATCATCATCATTATTGTTATTGTTATTATTGTTAATATGTTATTATTACTATTATTATTATCATTATTCATCATTATTTTTATTATATCATCATCATTATCATTATATTATTATTATTATTATTATTATATTATTATCATTATATCATTATTATTGTTATCATTATTATTGTTATCATTATCATTATTATTATTATTATTATTATTATTATTATTATTATTATTATTATGATTATTATCATCATCATTATCATTTTTGATATCATTAATATTGTGGTTAATATTATTACCATTACTTTTACCATCATCCTCGTTATTATTGATTTCATATTGTTATTATTATGGATATTCTTATCTTTGTTATTATCATTATTATTTTTACCAGTATCATTACTGTTATCATTACTATCATTACTACCATTATCATTATTATTATTCCTGTTTTAAATATTGTTATCATAATCATCAATAATATCATTATTATTATCATCATGACCATTATAATTATCATTATTATCATTATAATTATCATTATGATCATTATAATTATCATTATTGTCATTATACTTTATCATCAATATCATTATCATTATTATTTTTATTATCATTATTGTTATTGTTATTATTATTGTTATTATTATAGCGTCGAAGGCTGGTCGTGTGTGCCCGACCCGCTAATAATAAAATAGTCTACGTTAAAATTGGAAGGCAGCTTTGGCCTCCGTTTTCGATAGATTATCACCAAATAAATGCATTCCGTTACCGTTTACATTCATTTGATTCAATTGTCATTATCCTTTTCAATGTTCAATGATTTACGTGTTCGTTTATCTGCTCATGTTCAATATATGGTGTTAATATGTTCATGTGTATACATATCTTATTTTACCATAAACAGAATTTGTTATCCGTACAGGTTTAGATTTTATAGTCATATTAATATTTGTGTTTCTTTTATATCTGTATTTATCTTCATATTTATATTTATATTCATATTCATATTTATATTTTATATTTAGATTTTATTTAGATTATATAGTTATATTTCATATTTATATTATATAAGATATATATATATATATATATATATATATATATATATATATATATATATATATATATATATATATATATTGTATTATATTTTATACTAAATGTATAATCTATATTAATCTTTATATTTCAGAGAAGGCTAACAATTTATTGATTAGTCATATTTCACAACATATCATTCGCGCCTCAAGAAAATGTTTGGTGACTGTCCTTTCGTGCATGTACCACCACCACCACCACATTATTACGTTTACGAATTTCAGGGATGGGGTTGTCAGCGGTAGTGTATGTCTAGCCAGTCGTGAGCGTGAGCGTGACCTCTCTGAAAATCACTCACAGGGGTCACGACCTAGCATGGTTCCGATTGGCTGGAGCTTTTTCTTCTTCCTCTTACAGGGTTTTAGACTTATTGTTTCTATATTCCCTAGATCTTGATGCCTGGAGTCTTCTATCTGTTGTCTGGAAAATTTCTTTTGTTATTCATTGTTATGCTGTCTGTTGTATAGGATATTCACTATTCTTGTTCTTTGTAAGATCTTCCATGTGTCTTAGGATGTAGTACTTTTTAACCGGTGGATGATTATCTCTTGGTATGAGTAAAGAGGTATTTGGATTAGTCATTTTAATTATTTTCGGTGCCTCTGTCAGAGTGGAAACGTGGGCATTGCAGTATTAGGTGTTCTTCTGGATTTTGGCACCATCTGCAGCTTGGATCTGTTTCGAGTTTTAGGCTAAATAGATGCTTTCTAAGTCTTCTATGTTTCGTCAGTATTCTTGCTAGACAAACGTGTAATTTTCTGTTTGGCTGGAGCTACACACCATTTAACCTGACTCGTCCAATTTGGGGGCATATCTTTTAAAGATAAAATCGAGTAGAAATACTAAAAGTAAATGCGGTAAAATGTGGCAATGATAAGCATTTTACAAAATATTTGGGAAAATTGATAAAAGGAGTATATATAGAGAGAAACATAAAAACTCTACGAGGAAATAAAATAGTCACCTCTAAATATCAAAAGAAAATGAATTGCACTTCTTAATAGAGAATGGAAGTTGGCCACTTTAGGAGGAATTCGTATACATTCATTTAAGTAATTATTTTCGTATATATAAACTCAGAGCCAAGTGGACCTCAGGGTACACTACAGTTAGTATTGTTATCATCATCATTGTTGTTATTATCCTTATTATCATTATTACTGTTGTTATTATCATTGTTATCATTGCAATAATTATTACCAACTTTAATGTCATTTTCATTATTATTATTTTCTACCTTTCTGTTTTGCAGGTCACTCCGGACGCCCGCTTCGTTTCGCTTCCATGGACCGCAGAGGACGTCTCGGCCGCCAGCAGGACACGGAATTGGCCTCGCTCTCCCGGCGGCGAGGGCGACGAAGGAGGAGGAGGAGGAGCGGCAACAGCAGCTCCGACGAAGACTTGTCTTTCACGAGGAGGTGCGAGAGGTATAGTTTCTACCACGATCACGTCTACTCGAGGGCGGGCGTGGCGGGCGGCGTGAGGAGCGCGGAGACGGCGCGAGCGGTCGAGGACAGCTGGAGCGAGGACGAGGACAGCGCGGACGACGATGCCTTCTCGGATGCGTATATGGGGGATCTCTCGTCGTCCGCTGAAGATGACGTCGTGGGTGAAGGTGCGAGGACTTCTACGACAGCAGGTCGAAGAGTGAAGAGGAAAATCAAACGTCGCAGGAGAGATTCGCAGTTGATTCACAGGAGGCCAGATTCGCAACAGAGTCACAGCTGCTCGAAGCTGTCGCAGAATGAGGCGTCGGGAGTTCACTCTCAGAGAACTCATGCCCCACTAACCGGCGGCGGGAAGACGGCAGCAGTACCGGCAGCGCCTCCTCCCACCCGCGTGGGCGTAGGCCGGTCCCAATCTCCCAGCGAGTTGTGTTTTATAAGCCAGACGCCCAAAGGGAAGGCAGCGTCTTGCATATTTGCGTCTCCGGGTCAAAGGCAGCAGAGACAGCTGGTGAGCGGACGGTTCACCATAAGATCCAGCAGGAAAAGGCTGCCGCAGGATGGGGGAGGGTCTGGGGTTCCGAAGAAGCAGCTAGAAAATCCTAAGCAGCTAGAGTTACCTTCAGGCATTCCCGAGAAACAAGAACTGCCAGCGGAAGGTCCTAGCAAGCAGATTTTGCCGTCGGGAACTCTCCAGAATCCGGTGTTGCCGACAAGAACGCATAGTAAATACAACCCCACACAAAAGCCAATATTTAAAGTTCGATGCGAAGGGGACGAAGCTTTCCTACGTGGATCATCTGCATCAGTTAAAAAGGAGCTAGACGTATCCAACAAAGGGTCCCAGGCAAAGAGAAAATCTTGCACAGCGCAAGATACAACTCAACATAAAACTCCGATGGTAGTGATACAGCCTGACGCCATGGAATTGCTTCCTCAGCATGTAGTGGATGAATGGAAGGACAAGCATGGATACCAAGCACGTAAAGCAAAGACCAGATGCGCACTGGTTGACGTGAGCAAAGTACGCGACAATGCCAACATAAGACTGCATGGAAATAATAGTAAGAAAACACCAAGCACTTCCGCTATAGATCTTGGTCATGCGAATCAAGGAACTGGTGGCATATTGACGCTAATACCGAGGGAAACGAGTGAGCAAGAAAATGTTGATATTGAAGCCCTAGATGAAACACAGTTGGGATGCAACGCAGAGACCAATGACATGAGCGACGCAGCAGCAGTAATTAATATTAAATCGTCACAAGATAAATCCAATGTCAGTGTAATAAATGTAGGAAGAAAGACATCCGAAGAAAAAGCTCGCAGAGACGAAGCTAAGGAGGAGACAAGAAAACACACAACAAAGAAGTCTGCGAAAGGAGCTGCAGCTGATGAATCAAAACATTGCACAGCTGACAGTGCTGACACCAGAGGACAACAATACAAATCGAAGACACCAGTGAAAGCTAAGAAAAAAAAGTGCGGACCAAAAGCTACTTCAGAACTATCAGGCCCGTCAGAACAAGCCTCGATCAGTCTAAAATCAGTTCCTCAGGAAACTGTGGCAAGTATTTCAGACTCGGTTCCTTGCTCTCTAAAGATAACCGAAGATCCTGTCACTGTGAAGAAAGG